AAGAAAGGGCAGGCCCTGGGCATTCCAGGTGCAATCCTGCGGCTTGAAGTAGATGGAAAACTCCAAAAAACAAACATAACCTTTATTGCACACGGCGCTGGGGTTTTTTCATAGAAAAAGGTATGAACACATAAGCATTTGCAAATCAAAGCAACTCCTGTTGTTTTCAGAACAGTAAACAGCATGCAATATCTTTGAGAATTTGCTTTTCAAAACCACCAATAATACCGGGAAAAATTCGCTGAGTCTTTTTGTGCCCCTTTCAAAATGTTGTGAATCTCTCTCTCTCTGTGTGTGTGTGTGTGTATATATATATTTTTAAATCTGTAACATCAAATTCTTTGTGCCCTGGCTGCTTTTTCAGTTTTGGAGAAGAAGAAAATAGTTTCATTTATACAAAAGAGTTCATTATATACAAGAGTTTATTTCATTTCAATATAAATAATGCAGGAAACCAGCAGTTTTTTTTAAATTGGTTTCTAGTTTCCTACACAAGAGTGTAGGATTTGGAGTACGCTCCAGCCCCTTGTTTTTGAGACCTCCCTATACCGGATGTGCTCATTTCTAGTAAAGAGTCTCTAGAGCCTCCCATTTTGGTGTGCGTGGGCATGCGTGGCTCAGCACTGGTGGCAGCAGTGGGAGGGGCGGCGGCGGCGGCAGGAGCAGCAGCAGCAGAAGTGGTGTTTGCCGAGACAGGCATGGTGAGAGTTCTTTGAGGTAAAGTAGTTGTGGAAGAGCCCGGGTGGGACAGGCCCAAAGGCTTGCTGCCTGGGTCCAGCGTCATGTGCCTTGCTTGCGTGTGATAAGCCCTGGCGAGATTTCGGATGGAGGCTTCCCTGGGCGGGACCACTGGACAAGGATCGTGGATGTCAGGCTTGCGGAAGAATGCTTCTGATTTCATGTACAAGGGAAGGTTGCAGTAATCACCTGCAGGAAACAAACAGAATGGGGTAAGGTGCTTGAAATACTCCACCATCTTGTTCAGCGCTGGCTTGTGGGAAACCGTGTGTGTCTGAGAACAAGCTCCGGTTTGCCTTTGGCTCTTCAGGGCTCTCTGTGTAGCAGGCACGAGGGGTCTGAATGCACTTTACCTTGGCTCGTCGCAGCTGCAGAGCGGAGAGGTCCCCTTTCTTGGCTACAGCTGCGCTATGGTCCTGATCCACAGAGCCCTGCACGCCCTGGATATCCACTCTGAAGGCCTGCCCCTCTGATACAGGCCCAGTGAATGCTAGAGCTAGAGTGGGGGTTCCACCAACCCTGTCCCGGATGGGACATCTGGCCCAGATCACGCCAGCTCCAGGAGCCACCTGCGCTGCAGCTCGGCACTTCAATGTAGTGAGAGCCCGGCAGAGCTACAGCGGTCCCGGGGGCGGTGCAAGCCAGGACTAAGCAATCCCAGCTCCAGAACCCCTGCAGCTCTGCCGCCCGGTCCCCCTCCCTCACCCATGTGGAGACGGGAATGGGGGAACCGGCTTTTAAACTGGCTCCCCCTGCACCATCTCCTGCCCTCCCCTTTGCTGCCTCTGACACAGAGGCAGCAAGGGAGGGAAGAGAGTAGTCCACTTGACTACCCAGAAAGCATAGGGTTATCGACTAGTCGAATACCCCCTACCCCGGTCCATGCCAGGGGCGGGGTCCCCCTGAGCTCAAGCGGAGGGGGCATGAGGCATGAGGCAGGGTGCGCAGGAATGAGCCCGTAGCCCTTCCTCAGCCCCGGACTGGTCTTGTCTCTGACTAGAACTAACTTAGCGCCTCAGGCGTGGGGCCGAAAGCAGCATCCATCAGTCCCCGGCGGGGGAGTTGCCAGGGCCCCGCTGTGTGTAACAGGCGTGTGAGGCTGGGCGGGCGGGGACGCAAAACGAGCTGAGCGCTTGTTGATCCGTGTGTCGGAAGGCTCTGTCTGAACAGCTGCGCGGGCTGCGTGGCTGTGCGTGCCGCCGAGTGCACAGCAGCACGGTCCCTGCCGCCGGCCCCCTGGAGCAAAGAGGCTCCGTGAGTTGGCCACGCCGCGGTTTGGCCTTAGCAAGGGCCCACACCGCTGCAGAACGGATGCATTGCGGGGGAGGAGCCATTTCCTCACGATAAGCCCTGTCCCCTCCCATGCTTCGGCAGCCGGGGCAAAGACAGGGGCGCGCTGGTGTTCCAGGTGTGGCCACACCTACGGCCGGGCTGCGTAAAAGCAGGTCCCAGGGTGCTGCTGCGCACTCCCCAGGACAGCAGTGCCGTGCTGCCCACGAGCCCTTTGGGGCCGGCCCTGGGCTGCACGGCTGGCGGGGGCCTGGCCCGCAGGATACTCACTCTTGTTAGTGCGGTGCGGGGTGG